AATACGGTAAAGGTTTGGTAGCACACTGAGGTTATCACGTTGTTAGGAATCCGGAAGCACCGGTCGTAAGGCCACATTCATGCGTACAGTAAAAAGATCGGAGAACTGGAAAATCAAGAATTTGCGGTAAGTATTAAATTTGTATCGATCTCAGGAATCTTGAACTTAATGACGGACTCTCGCTTCTATAGTTGGTGTGGTCAGCCGATACGCAACCTTTTCGTGGAGTCTCTTATATTGCAGTGGCCAAAGTATGAACCCATATCCCGACCTAACTAACTAGGGAAGGTCGTCAGGTCGAAGTGGCCATTTGTAATGAGATGTAGCTCACTAGACGTGGTTTTGGACGCTGATCTCGAATCTGCCTTCGAAATTTGCAGAACGATTCTCTGAAAGGAATTATGAAGGCTTGTTAGAATTAAAATGAAGGAAAACGGAGTCGAGCGCGGTTGCCAGCCACGCATGAATAGCCGGGAAGCACCATTACGTTCAACGGCGGCATGGTGTAGTGGTAACGGTCTTGCTTCGCGGGCATGCTATGAAGGGTTCGGATTTCTGGAAGGGAACTTGTTTTGCATTTTGTGGGGAATGTCTCTTTTAAGTCTAGAAAACACTCAAACGCCAAATGGGTGCCATATTCGTGTTCAGGGAGCAAAACTACCCTTGGGGACAGGTTTCTAGCCAGATGTGAGGTTTTGACCTAACTTTGAAAAGTGCGGTAGCAGTTGATCGAATGATGGTCACCAATAGTTCCAGGGCCAGTCTCTTGTCGATTGCTTGTCTTTGGACGGAATTTGCTTTTAGATACCAGGAAAACTGGAGCAGTAACAACATGAATGCGTAAGAAGTGGCAAGACGAGGCTTGTGCAGGAGAATGTATCTGCAGCTGAATAGGTGTGAACATCAACTGAACTAACCCATGGATGCTTCACTTTTCGAAGTCAGGTCAAAATGCCAGATTTGGCTAGAAACCTCTACCTAGGCGTAGTTCGCCCCCATAAATACGAATATGGCACTCGCTCAGCGCGAAAACGTCTGCACTGCGCGCCAAGGGCACCTGTACATCCTAAAATTCTCCTAGATCATAAGGCACTAAGCGCGCCAGTAAGCGAACACAAACTGTTTTTCAGGCAAGTCAAGGAGAGCGCTAATGTAGTAGTGACGCCACAACCACTTTTTGCCACGTTTGCACAAGAAGCAAAAAAGTTAAGCTCAGCAGGGATCCGATCCCACGACCTGTTGCGTGGTAAACGCGGTGGAAAAAGCTCCATAACTCCGTTCAGAAAATCGTTCTGCAAATTTCGAAGGCGGATGTCCGAGATCTGGCGTTACAAACCACGTCTAGTGAAGCTAACATCTCAATTAAAATGGCCACATTCTGACCTGGCGACCTTACCCTAGTGAAGATCCGTGGCAGCTACACTAATGATAGAAAAACAGAAGTGGCTCCAGTAAGATCAACAGCACCTTCATCCCTGCTGCAACTCGTCCAAAAATGGTGTGCTTGCCATCGAGGTGTTGGGTGGGAGCAAGAGTGATGAAAAACTGAGACCCGTTCGTATTTGGGCCTTAACAGCGATGCTAGTATCGAGTTAAGGAAAGGACGAAAAGATGTTTTACCTGCATTTGCCATCGATAGAACTCCAGCACCGGTATGTTTAAGTTTCTCGGAGATTTCGTCCGCAAAACGGTCGCCATAAATAGAAGCTCCACCCCTTCCTAAATGATAATGTTTTCTCTCAGAAAAACTGCGACATATCAGAAAAGCAGTCACCTGTTCCTGTTGGATCGCCTCCCTGTATCATAAAATCTCCGATAATCCTATGAAAAATCGTCCCGTTATAATATCCTCGACGAGCCAACTCACTGAAGTTTCGGCAAGTCCTTGGCGCATGATCCCAATATAACTCCAGACAAATCTTTCCCATACTAAAATAAAGTGAGGAAAAGAGAAATTTCAAAGCACGAAAAAAATGCACCAAACCTGGTTTCCATCATTACGAAGGGCGCTTTATCAGTGATCGACATAGCTCTCTAATAGAAAAAAATAACCCGCTCAACTCTATTGAAATTACGATAGTGTACTCAAGAGTTCTCTCTCTGCGCGTTTGAAGCCTGAAGTAAGGCGCCTGTTGAGGTGTGTTGCCCGCAGTCGCGAACAGTACTTCCGTCACGCCATAATGTTTGGTCATGAGTAGGTTTGGTTGCTTTTCGTGTTTGTTTTGGAATGACTGCACAGGTGCTTCTGACTCATATCCCTACTCTTTCACAACGTTCTATCTTACGAAGTAATGATTTTTTTCGTGCGCCTACTATTGCTGTCGGCCATCCTGGAGGAGTAAGAACACAATTTTCTTAAATTTTCATTTTCAGAGTAACAATGGATATGCAAAATTTTGTGAATAATCTGAAAAGCACCGCCCTCAGTGTGGGCGAAATGTTCACCCCCGTCCTGAGGGAAAGCAAGTTCCGAGAGACGGGGGTGCTAACACCAGAGGAATTCGTCGTTGCTGGCGATCATCTCGTCCATCACTGTTCTACATGGAAATGGTCAAAGGCTGCCGATCCTAGCAGGTGCAATACTGGTTTGAATTAAAGAGGTTTCTCAGGTCGAAGAAAGCGTAAATTGACGCCAGTGTGATAGCAACGTACAATGCTACTGTTGACGTCTTTATTCATTCATTAACCATTCTCTCGAGTAATTTTTCTTTCTGTTAGACGGCATTCTGTGGAGGAGGTGCAAGGAAGCGATCGCCTGCTAACTATAAGAATGACGAATTTTCTGAAGCTCTTAGGCTGTGTTCATACATTGCGTCCGTGTCCACCAGCTACCACTATCGTTTCAAGCGTACGCCAGCGCCAGCGACTAGGAAAGTATAGATACTGATCTAGCCAGTGTCTCGAGAGACTAGGAAAGTATGAGTATATAGATCTAGTGAACGGCAAGCGTCCAGGAGTGGGAAGTATGGGTAAGTAGGCTGGTTACGCCTGAAACTGTGATGGTCGCTGGTGGACGCTGACGCAAAGTATGAACGCAGCCTTAGGCCAGGAACTCCTTGGTGGGCAAAAAATGCTTTTGTGTAAAAAATAAGTTTCGCGTGTGGTTCACCCAGACCAGGCTCTCAACCGTTTCTTGCTCTGGCCCGTTTCCTTAACATATTCTGGTTAGTTCTAGAAACTATACTCTCACAAGGAACAAATCCGGACGCTATTTGGCTTGCAGGAGCTTTTTGCATTTTTCCTAACTTTTTTTCGTGTTCAATACCAGGTGAACTCCCGTGAAGCGAAATGGTGCGCGTCATCTACTTTAGTCAGCGGCCCATTCGCTCCCCCACGAAGCCGCTACTCCTAGACCTGTTCTTGATAGCGCTTCACATTCGCTTATTTTCAAAACAGCCTGGTATCTTGACAGGAATTGACGAATGCCCAGTACAAGTATCTTGCACAAATGCTTCACACTTATGGGTACACTCTTGTTAGCTGCTAATGAAGCAGCATGTGAGGCGGATAGGGTTCGACGCGGCGCCAATCCCGTTCTTTACCAGCTGTTGCAGCGTGTAAGCTACAATATTCGATGGAAAACGACATACGAACACGCTTTATGATCCGCAACGAAAAAAACTTCTCCTTCCATCACTTTCGAAGTTCATGTGTTGAGAATGTTCCCGATTACTTCGCCATCTTTTTTGGAGGAAAATAGTTTACTATCGCAGGACACGGGCATACCTTCCCGCAGAGAAGCAGTTTCTCATAGTACGGAATGTTCCTTGTCATAAAAGATGCCGCCAAATGGAGTATGATCCTAGTCAGGAGAAGGTATGGAGAGTTCTTTGTATCGTAGTGGCACTTTGAAGTTTTTCTTAGTATTCTGTAGATTCTTTCATCGCAAGAAATCGGAGCAGAAGATGGATTTGCCGGTGACGAAGATAGCGGTTGGGTGGATACCCATCACTTCGCCCACGATAGCGTTGAGATGGGAAGTATGGAGTTAGGCACAAAAGTACGTCCAAAGTGCTTCTGAACCGTTAGGGTGGTTTTATTATGAATTGAAGGTAGTTCAATATACGGAACTAAAGCGGCAAGTGTTTTTCAGGGACCAGAGCAACCAAGTGTAAACGATGACGATGACGGTGATGAGCCTGCCATGGATCTTGATGAATTTGTTGAATCCGGTGGTTTAGAAGATATAGATCCGAACAGGCATTCCTTTGCTCTAATTGCACATATAATTTTTTTCATTTGCTATGGTCGCTTTTTTTCTGCATGTGACTGAGAACGTGAAAATCAGTGGCATAACTATACAATTCTCTCCAGTTTTCAGATATGTCTCTCCCCAAGCGGTCACAATAGCAGCAGAAGTTGAAAGACCCCGTACCTATGATTTACACATTACGTATGACAAGTATTACCAGGTAAATCAACTTTTCAAAAAACGTTTCTGGTTCAGCGACGGGGGGGGATTTTGCACTTCTTTTACTTCCCGTCAACGTGTCGACCATCTAGAGAGCCGCTTCATGAGCTTTCTGGGTTGACACGTCTCATAATGGTGACTCCACGAGCTTGCTTATACTTATACTTTATTCTTTATCGCACAGACACAAATAGAGTGTTTTTGATCATTTGTGCGAAGATTCTCGAGGAACCGGCAGCGGTGAATAATGTCGTCCATCTTCTAGTCATGTCTCTGGTCCTTGCTCCAGTATAACGAGCGAAGTCGTCCAGCCATCTTGTTCTGGGACGTCCGAGACCTCTTTTTCCTTGTGGTATCCAGTCAGTTGCCACTCGAGCCCAGGAGTCTTGAGGGGACCTTCTTGAGAGACGCGCAGCGTAGGACCATTTTCTTTGTAGTGCCGAAACCACCCAATCTTTCAGCGATGTCCTTCTGCGTAGGATTTTGGATGAGATTTTGTCCGAAAGCCTAGCTCCAAGTATGGCTCTTTCTAAACTTGCTAAAGCTTGCTTCACCTTCGCAAAAGTTCAAAAGTTTCACCAGGGTGAGATTCGTAAACCCGAAATATTGAAGCAGCGAGATGCAAAATGCCCCACCCGCTGAACTGCGCCTGTTTTTTTTTCTTCTTTGTTCATTCCTTCTAAGTCGTTCCATTATCACGATCAGGAATAAGACTCAATCAAGGAAGTGATGTAAGAAATAGAGAGCTAACCGTGGAGGTATGCTTTTAAGCATCACTTCCACTCACGTTGGGCTAAAGAAATAGATCAAACGCTTGGAGAATGCCAAAAAAAGTTCATTCTCGTGCTCGAGTTGTTACAATAATGTTTGTGCGCGCTTCTTTACGAATGAGAGCTCGCAAATAGCAATCATACATGCTGCAATAAGTCTTCACACTTTGCAGCGAATGGCGCTAAACGGAACTATAGATATTGATATGGCATTTTAGAGAACAATAGAAACGGTTAGTGAACCGATCTCCTGAGAGAATGTCAAAAATGTGGGTGGATAACATGGGCCCCGGTCGCTAGCGATGCCATCGATTCTCCTGTTCTGCTCTTCCATAACGGCAGCGTCAGGCGTTTATCGGTACCAATCCTTTCCTTTGGCGTGCTTTCTCCCAAGCCGTCAGTTCGTCAGTTCTTCCTATTCTCCCATAGCGAAGTGTGAATGGTGCCTATCTGCGAGCTCTCATTCCTATAAAAGGACGCACAAACATTACTGTAACTCTCGTGCGCGAGATAGGGACGATCCGCAGCCGAGATCTCCCGTTCCACCCGTTTTTTTTATTTTTGGCATTTATTCCAGCGTTTTATCTATTTCCTTAATCCAACGTTAGTGGAAGTGCTGAGTGGCGAGGAGTGTAGGCCTAACAACAGGTGTTCAGAAGAAGCCGCAGAAAGAAATACCGTTATTCATTCCATAGCAGTACTGTAAAAGCGTGCACATAAAATAGCTACTATAAATCCTTCCCAGGTTCCACGATTGTTCCTCATGGGATATGACGAAAACCGAAAGCCACTCACTGTTCAACAAACGTACGAAGACTTTTCGGCCGTAAGTTGTTATGTTGTCTTTGAAAATGACTGGATATATTGTGATTTTATGGTAATGTCGCTGTTTTCAGGATCACGCTCATAAAACGATAACTGTGGAAGCTCATCCACATATTGATTGTGATATGCCTACAGTGCATCCATGTCGCCACGCTGAGGTAATTAGAAATTCAGCAGTTGCAGTGGTGCTGTGCGGGTGTCCGCGGACTTTTGACGCTATTGGTCTTGTAGTCTTCCCTGAAATCACGTGAATACATTGCAGTTGAGAGCTCTTATTTAGCTTTGTAATCGGTTTTAAACAGGGAAACTACTGAGCTTGCAGGCCGCTCTCTGTCCACTTTCAAATCGGGGGAAAGGCACATCCTTGCTGGTAGCGCAGCTAGGTTACCTACTTGTGCAGGTGCTTGGACTTCTCTGCTAACGAAGTTACCTTGAAGGAAGACTTGCTTTTAGTGGTTGACAATACTTGGGAACAGTGGCTGCATCCTATTTTTTACTCTTGGGTTACGAATTTCACTTTTCTATCTTTCTATACTATCAGTACGATAATGTGTAGAGTCACTGACTTTTTCCCCGTTTCTTCTCGATTAGCTGGCAGAGCTAGTGGCGATAGTGAGATCTTACTTATCGGGAGCCAATCCGAGGTTTGTTCCTCGGACTGTGAGCGCGATAAATGGTGCCACTTGCTACTATATCACCTCCGTCCAATTATAGAGAGATTAGTCATAAAAGCAGTTGCTGATGTTGTTCACCCCGTAAATTTAGAGGCGAATTTCAGCATTTGATAAAAAGTCCTCACATAATATCTCATAATTCCCCTAGTGATTGAAACTGATAAATCGCAGATGATGAAACGCCTATTGGACCAACTCGCTGAAAATGGCAAAGAGCTCGGGGTACATGAATATCTATTGATATTCCTTAAGTTTGTGCAGGTAAATTACCTAATACAAAGTCTAACTGCTGGGAAGTATCCTGATTTCCCTTATTCCAGACTGTTATACCAACTATCGAATACGACTACACGAGATCAATACAATTGTGATACATATCTATACCTTATAATGTGATAGTTTTATGGTGCAGAAATGCTCCGCGAGCTCGCCAGTGATGTTTTTCATGCTTGATTGTTTAATGGTTACATTTACGTTTGCAATGGTGATGGAACCTTCTGTTTTCGAAACTCTGCATTGCCTAGTATTTAGTTCTTCTTGAAAATATCTTTCGCTTTATTCGAAGGCATTGAGCTCATGTGAGTGCATGTATTCGTCTAGTATTCGGAACGTGAGGGTGTTGGTTGCTCCATAAGTGGCCACTCATTTCATTTCATCCAAACATACCCATTGAGTTAGCATCCAAAGTGCCGAAGGTTGCATTACTGATACGACCACTTATAATTTTACAGGGCCCTTGTAAACTGTGACGACAGATGTACAGCTTAATGGTCCGTCACGGGTTTCAAGACAACCTCTTCTACGGTTTTCCAACCCCAACCAGTTTGCTTCTTCCTCAGCATCTCTGTTCTATCATTGTATCGATCATTTTGTCATAATTTTCATAAATTGAAGACATTGGAGCACATCTCACCCCGTCCAAGACGGAAACAAATGTCTGTTATTTGAACATTATCAAATCGTACCGCCGTAAATGCAGCAAAACTTGAGCACTGGTTGTAACAGAGAAGAAATCTGTCTATGCCTCTTTATGGCAGGGAAAGGTGATACATCTCAAAATTCAATGCAATAAGTGCAAGTGTAAGTTTATCAGTGTGATAAGGCATACGTGAGAAAGAAGTTCGGAACACATTACATATACAAGTTCCAATATTGATAAGTTAGTTACAATTTTTCGAAAACAGTAATTAACCAGCAAAACACCAACTTATCGACCAGTCTCAAGAGAGCTAGACCCACCATACCTTAATAACCTTTTGGAAATACGGTGTCTGAACTGAGCATGTGACAAAGTGGCAGGTATGGCTTTTGTTAACTTCAAATACGCGCTGCCCGCCCTGAAGGTGAAGCTTTCGGCACGTAAATTAGTCGTGGGTTTTCAAAATAGTCTTGATGGGACCGGACCTATGTTTGAATGAACTATCTGAACATTATTGAGACCCAACCCCACGCGATCTTAAAAGGTGTAACTGCAGACAAAGATCGAAAAACTTCCGTCGGACTCCAAGCTGATAACCGTATGTTATGTTCCTGGTCGAGAGCCATTCCGGCATTTCTCGATGCTAGACAAAGTTAACTATTCAATCATTATCTCATGACCGAAGCTATCTGTTACGCCGCAAGTCGTAAGTGTTGCTGTCTTGTTCCGTAGGGCGAATACCGTAGTGCTAGCTCTACCAAGTGCTAGACGTAGTCCTTATAGCATGCAGTAATACTTGCGTGTTTGCAGTTGATAGGCCTTTGAAAATGTGATATTTACGTGAGTGAGGTTGATTGTACCCTCCTTTTCATACGCTCCGCAAAATCTAATTTACCAGTGTAGTAGAAACCGAAAAATCTTTGACATACTGGGTAGCAGAGAGTGCCCCATCTACAGTGTTCGCGGACGATGGTTGGACGTTTCCGGAGTTAAGTTTCATGTAAACTGTTTTCTGGAGCCATAGGCATTTTCTTGCCATTCGGACCAGTCGACTGTTACATCTATGGCCTTTTGCACGACCAGATAGTCCGTATCATGCGGGAGTGGTGATATAGTTTAAGATGACCCTATAGTTACTTTTTCGCACCTCCGCATACTTGCCAGTAAAACCGCCCGCTTAATGCTTACGCTGACTGCTGCCCTCTCATCAAGTTACTGACCATGAGTTAAGTGAATAAATATAAGTGAAGAGTTATACAGAATGGAGTTTTTGTAAACGGGTAAGTACTGCTGTATATAATTCGCTAAATTTGTTTATTGGTGTTTGGTTGGGTGTGTGTGTCGTGCGTGTGGTGTGTTGCTGTCTGTGTGGTGTGTGTGTGTGTGTGTGTGTGTGTGTGTGTGTGTGTGTGTGTGTGTGTGTGTGTGTGTGTGTGTGTGTGTGTGTGTGTGTGTGTGTGTGTGGTTGTGTGTGGTGTGTGTGTGTTGGTGTGTGTGGTTAGGAACATCATGAATTCCTTTCATTCAGCCGTATAGAGAGTTTAAATGGTAAGTGATATGGGAGGAGGGGGACGGGAACATGGATGATGGGTGGCAGGAAGTGATAACAGCTGACATGGGGTCTTAAAAAGGGAGGGTCACCAAGTTCATAACTTGCGCTGCAGCGGTGGAGCGTTGATTCCAAGAAGTGACAGGGGTTGGATATGAACTTCATTGGTGGGTGGCAGGAAGTGATATTAGCTGACAAGAGATGATAAGGGGCGTCAGGTGAGGGTCACCAAGTTGAGGGTCACCAGGCATGATGTGGTGTATGGGTCATGAATATCATTTATGGGTGGCAGGACGCATTAAGAATTATTATGATCTGATAAGGGGATTTGAAACTCAAGCGTCGCCCGTCACAGTAGGTAGGAAGTTGGTTCCAATAAGTGATATAGTGGATGTGACGGGGTTATTACTGATGGGTCACAGAGAGGGATAACAACTGATAGGGGCAGATAAGAGGCGTTACCCTCTTCCACACTACCGAATCATAAAGATTTTGTGGTAATGGATCACGGGTGACAAGGGATTATATCAACTGATAGGGCGTAAATAAGAGATAAGAGCTTATTTTCACCTAATTTTTTTACCACTATACTTCTAGGTTCACCGTATTTCAGGCTAAGTATACAGTACCTATTGTTTTACTGCACGTCCAACGGGAGAGGGGAAGGGTTGTTCACGTGAGGTCTACAGCACAATCAAGAAAAGAATAATATTGTATAATGATAATTATACGATAAAGAAAAAAAACAGCATTAATCGTGATTCACTATGGTAAACATTTCGCATTGTTTTATCACGCCAGGCGCGCAGTAGTGTGCGCCAGCCAAACTGGTGTTTCAATAAACCAAGTAATGAGTTTTTTATTCATTCCATATCTCGTTATTCTGTCTTGAGTGAGCCTGGCAGTGAGAGGTCACCAGTCAGCGTAAGCAATTAAGCGGGGGTATCCCACTGGCAAGTATGCCGAGGTGCGAAAAAGTAATTATAAGGTCATCTCAAACTATATGCGCACACCCGTATCATGCGAGATTCGCAGGACCAGATAGTCTGTATCATGCGAGATCGTCTTATAAATTTTCAAGTCGTCAGCATATACTTTAGCTATGACTCCTCCTCTGAGCATACCAGGAAGTTCGGCCGTGAAATTGTTAAAAAGAACAGGTGATAAGACACCACATCTTTGGGGTACTCCACTTAGCACCTGTTTAACGTTGGAGTAGGACTGCGCAGTTTGGACCCGGAAGTTCTGTCGAGAGGATATTCCGATATCCACTTCCTGAGAACAGGATGGAGCCCAAGGACTCTTACAAGGGAGGTCTTTCAGGTCGTGGCGCGCTTTTCAGAAATGGTTTGTTGCATGTTGTAGGGGTCCATATAAGGATCACAAAAATGGGTTTCGTTTTTGCTAT